AATGGGAAAAGCGAATGGCAAAGAAGAATCCGTAATGAATTCTCTGGCTCTGCTTTACGGAGCGTAAAAACTAATTAATTACACGTGCAAATTGTAATAAAATTCCTTTCTATGGACTCCTTTTACTCTAATTATTCCACTTTTTCTTTCTATTGCATTAGGTGTTTCGTGATAACATTTACATATAGTGAGATGTGTGGGAGGCCAAGGGTTATGTCCCTTGCAGATCGTATTGATTTCTTGAGAGGGTGTTGATAGTAACCACCACTAACGGTGACCACAACAAGTGTCCTTGCGCCACTTTTGCCTCTGCACTGCACTGCACATTTGCACATCTGCACATCATCATTTTGGAGCATTTTCTATTTATATTCATAGGCCCCCAGTGGCCTTCCACCCACTAAAATCCACCCACTTTCATAATGCACTCTAAAAACAAACCGCATTATGCGCTGTTTGTTATTATAAAAATAGTATCTAACAGGTAGAAGGAAGCGTTTTCGACCAAATAAAGTATATAAAGTGTTGATCAAGATCAATAGACGCCTACTTTAACGACCACAAAACACAAAAAACTAAAATCTCTGAAATCTCAGGAACTATAAGAATTAGAAAATTGAGACTAATCTTGTTTATTCTTAAGATGCCAGCTCAAGGAGATTTTTTCATACATAATTTCACAATTTCTTAAGAAATGACCTCACGACCATTAGGAGACCTCACATGGGCAATAACGTCATTATCAGGTATTAAACATGTTTTTTCTAACAAAATGTGGTGCTGCTAATACATCCTTTTATCACGGCGAAACCTTCTAGGAGTTAAGTCGACTTCTAAGATGGAAATAAATCTTAGTTCTCCTCAAACCTTTACTGAGATTCAGACCCAGGACAAGGATTTCAATTTGCAGAGTCGACTTAACTCCCAGTGCCACCGTCGGCGACGTTTTGACAACTTCAAAATGTTTGATATCATTTCTGCTATCAAATGATTATTTTTAAAATTAGATTTGACATCAACGGGCATCTTATAGTCGTCTATAGCGTTTCTTCTTGTTCTACATCTCACGACATCCACGCAGTTTTCTGACTTATGTATGAGTTTATACTATTTTTAATAGAATTAGGATGATTCATGTTGGAAAACTTAAGAATATTTCTTTAATAGTTGACTTTACTCTTGGGAATTTGATTTGGTACGACTTTCGTAAACAAAATCCAGCATCGATAGTACTAAAACAAGATTAAAAACACATCTGCCTAGAACAAGTCGTCACACTCACTTTGATCTCACCCAATGGCCTGCAAATTTGAATTCATTTGAACTTGAGTGGTGAACAAGTGAGTGCCAAGTCCTTATAATTAATGCCTGCAATTGAACTTGACCCAAAAAATGCCTGAATAATTTTCAAGCAAAAGCAAGTATTCGATGTGGGAGGCTGCCCTGGGAGGACTTCATGGGAAATTGCCTTGGAGCTGGCATGTCTTAAATTGCGAAACTCTAAACCGTTTGTTCTAAGTGATTTATAGAATGGGGCAGAAGGTTCTAAATGGGTCAATTGGTATCTCTTGTGAATATTACAAGAATTTATGAGCTTCAGGCATTAAGAGGATGTTTGCTGTTTGTTGAGGTAAATGAGAAAGGATTCAAAGCTTGCTATGTGAAGATTTATTATTGACTTGAATAATTTTGAAAAACAAATAATTTTGCTGGTAATTGTAGGAGGGTCGTCCTAGTTGACTTATTTTATGAGAGTGTTGACCTTTTATGGCCATGGCTAAGCAAGTTAAAACTTTTGCAAAAAAACTGTATTACCTTACGAAAAAACTTAGATTTAATTGCATTTTTAAACAAACAAACTAACATAAACAATAAATATGATTGAATTTCTCAAAGAAACCTAAGCAGTTTTCACTTTTCCTTGCTTGGCTCGTACATAAAGTGGATTGCTTTTTCTGTTTTCCTGGAAATTGGCCTTCGCAATCTCATGCAAAAATCTAAAAATAGTTATTCTAAAAATAAGTCAACTTAATTATTAAAATCTTTAAATTGATTATTCCCCCAAAAAAATTCAACGAAAATGCAAAGTTTTAATGGATATTTAAAATGCAAAAAAGTTGTAGCGAAAAGTTTTCAATTTGAATTCTAAAACTGAAACATTAAGCCATTTTCTCTACAAACTACTTATATGTTAGCCATATCCTATACGTTCTTAACGTTTTGTGCATTACCCGTTTCACTTTTGCCAAGTGCTTATTTTCTTTTATGCAAACACTTTTGACCCAGTTATGAGACTCCTTTCACTCTTTGCTAGCTGAAAATTCCATCTGGCTGAAATAAACTTAGACCGCTGCACTATCTCTAGCATCTAGCTGGCTCTTTCTTTAGTCAGTTTCCCTCTTCTCCGCTGTCTGTATCTCTTTCTCTTTTCATTCCCATCACTCAAATTGCAACTACTCAAAGTTTTTGAGATCCGAGTCGTCGCTTCTGTTTTGCTTTGATATCAAATGCATTCACGTTTAGTTTTGTAATAAAAAGTGTAATTCCACATAGATACTCGTTGTAGAGGGGCGGCTGAGGGGTTGTCATTAGCATGCAAATGTATGCGAGATGGTTGGAAAACCCATTCAAGGTAACCCCAACTTTACCACCCACACTCATATTCACACACACACACACACACAGACAAATAAAAAAGGGAGCCTGCTTCTGTTTGATAAGTGGGAAAGTGTAAAAATTTCGTTGCATACTTGTGAGCGTCGAAATGAAATTGCGGCTGTGACAGCTGGCACGAAAATGAAAATGAAAACGAAAACCCAGAGCCTGTATTCGTACATACGAATGTAAATGTGAATTTAATTGTGCCACCACACACACACACATGCAGGCTATCAGGACACTATAACTATGACCAAGGCAATAGTTGAAGGATGTTTTTTAGACTTCAAATCAAACAAAACAGCAAAATTTTGATATGCTAAAATGCTTTATCTATCACTATTTTTACGCAAATGAAGTCAGCATATCATGCGTATCAAAATATTCAAATTATTTTTGTATTTTAACCATTGCCAAAATATTAAAAACAAATATTGATTATTGTTTTTTTACAATTCCAGGTAGAATAGCGTGCATTAAATGTTAACATTTTATAGTGTTTTTTCCGCTTGCCTTGCATGAACATCACTCATTCGTACTTTGAATAATTAGCTTAGCTTGTATGCATTATAATTTAGCTTATAAACGCAATTTAAGCAACTCACTTAGTGGTACTTAGACGTAATAGTTATCGAATTTGTTTAAGAATTTTCTGTAATTAAATAATATTTTTTTTCTGAAATCGCTTACCATAAATTCCCAAAACAATTACTATTCTTACACCCGCCACTGTACCGCTACGCACATCCTGAACGTGACAAAACCACTAGAGGCGTTGGAGGAGGCGTGGTGCTGGCGGTCGTCAGTCAATCAGTGAGATGGCCTGTCGCCGACTTGCCAAGAAAGTTGGGCCAGCCCTGTGGCTTTTATAATAATTTCAAGTGTTTATAGTTGAAATTTATATATATGTTACGCTACATATAGCCATACACTTAGCATACGGGCTTACATATCTGTGTAACGCCCTGTCGCCTTCGCCTGGCCAAGTTTAGTTTTCGGGCTTAGTCGCTGCGCCTTTGCTCGCTTCCTTCCTGGCCAACTTCCTGTCACGCTTGAGGAGGTGGAATTGGGATTGGCCCTGTCGATTGCTATATAAACATTATACCCCGATCCCTCGATCCCTGCACAGTGTTTGCCATTTCTGTGTTTTATTTGAAATGGCGTTCAGGAAATTTGTGCAAAAAAATGAGAGGAAAGAAAATCCATTTACGTAATTACTTCAAGTTAACTTTTACCCTCGCTGCTCCTGCTGCAGAAGAAAAAAAGGATGCGCGCTCTTTTCGTTATTGAATTATTGAAGAATTGCTTATTCGCTTATTGGAAATCTGTTCTCCCTCCTGGCACTGCCACTAGTTGAGTTACGGCCATCCATAATTGGATGAAACTGGGTCGAAACCCTCTCAACCCATATCGATTACATTACGACCAAAAGTTTTCTCATTTTCATAGCCCTCCGACAACCGTTAATTATATTTGACCAGCAACATTTGTCCACCAGTGTTTCGTAAGGAAAAATCGAGTTGAATATGTTGAGACCAAGTTGCATTTAATAATTCTAATTTATGTTTCACGGCAAATCCATCATCGAAGTTGGTCTTTATTATGAGGACCAAAAATATATGTTTATAAATAATCTTTCTGTAGTTGATGGCGTTTAGCTGAGGTGGATACAAAATGGGAAATTAATGACCCGCAAGCGTTTCCTTTAAACGAAACTCATTAAGGCCATATATAAATTTTATCGTTGGTAATTACCAAAACGAAATTATAATAATTTATTTTTGTTTCAAGAGCTCTAAATCATTGTCTGGAGAAGCAATGGTTTTTTAAGTTGGCAATTCGTTTTGTTTAATACTAATTTATTAGTTTTATGTTAATATTGTTTAGACTTTTATAATTTTTTAGACTAAGCACTCTTTATAGCAATCCAATAAAAAAAAACTTACTACTACCTTCCTGGGAAAAATAATAAATAATAAAACATCTTTATCGATTTACCTTTATCCAAACAATCTGAAACTATTCTGCAAGGACTCTCTTACCCCCTAAAAACAATCAACTTATATAATTTCAATTGACTTTCCTTGCCATCAAATAGAATAAGACGCTTACCAAGAAACAGAAATCAACTTGGCTTAACTCTTCTCCTTCACTTACAAACTTTCAGGGGGTCGCTGTCAGAGAAGTGTCTGCAGACAAAGCATTTAATAATGTAAGACTGCCCTAAGACTCTGCCGTTCTGTAATTACAAACGAGTTCTGTGGAAACAAGTAAGAAGTCGACTGCAGCAGGACTAAGAAAAGGACCAACAAGTTGCCACAAACCCCAAACCAATAAGGAACTGAATTCCCAGGAAGTGAAAGCAGCAAAACGGCAGCCGTGGATACCAACGCGCTGCGCAGCTCAGCCACTGTGAAAGTGACGTCGACGACAACGCCCCTGACAATTTGTCAGCCGCCACCGCCCACTCCGCCCTATCAGCGGCTAACCAAGGCGCTGCAATGCGATCCGCGCTGCGGCCACGAGGTGAGTGCAAATTGAAATGCCTGTGGTGGCGAAATCATGGTGGGTCGCCGCCCCGTCGGGGTCACCCACAACTTTTTTGCCCACCTGTAAGTTCTTCGAGTTGCGGCAATGGTTCGGTTAATGTCAATTACCCCCGCCATTAGTCATGGCACTCCACTGCAGACCAAGTTTTTAAATAAATTTCCAGTAATTTGATAAATGTGCTTGGGAATGTGAGGTGGAAAATGTTCCTCCGACCTTTAGATTAGAAAGGGAACATTTGCTTAGCAAAAATGTTTGTTAATTTAAATATGTTTTATATAACATTCCACCTATATTTTCATTTAAATGTAAGCAGAAAAGCAGGCACATCGCAGCGTATTCGTAATAAATTTAAACAGCAAATCGTAATATTTTATTTATTTATAATCCGATATATATATCCTTTGAAGATGTTAGCCCTAGATTAAATAAATAAGTTGAAAAACCTATTTTCTATTTTACCACCCCATCAAAATAAGGCAACTCTATCAAAAACTGTCTGTAACTGGAATACAAATACTTATTTTTCCTCCATAACCATACATCATAAAATCGTCACTATGATAATTTTGCTTTAATAGGCATCCGTATCCGTATCGTAAAATGAATTTCCTTCGGCATCCTTTTGTGAAGGCTGCAAATGATTACGGCAAAAATATATCTTCGCATTGTGTCATGAACTTATTGTGCCAGATTTGCGTGTCCTTGTGCATGATGAATTGTATCTCATATACAAGTTCCCTCTGAATGCAACCTGTTTGGCAGAGCAAAACAACAGAGGTAAGCCCCTCTAACGCTCTGACGTCACGGTGAAAGCCAAAGCCAGGTTATTGTCGCTTGTTGTTTTTGGGCCATTTTCCGTGTAGGTGTGCCCCAGTGCTTGTATGGTTGTGTAGTTGTGTGTTAGCTAATACACAAACCCCCCGCTGCAGTGGTGCAATTATGTATGGGTTCAAGGCTAATTTGCTTGTGCAGCTTTGCCGTTGTCCGGTTATACACTGAAAATAAATCTAAATGGTATTTTTTTAAACTCAAAAAGTGTATTAAAGAATGTTAAAAGGTAAAAGGCATGCAAGTAGTTTATTCAAGTCACTAAAATCTCTACCGTTCTAATCCTAAACTGAATTTATTTTTCCTAGTGTGTTCCGGGGATTTGTTGTCTTTGTTTGAGCTCATTCCCCGCCTATTTGAGGCTTGCGTTGCAGAATGCGCGTGTGACCGAACGCAAGTTATCCGCATTACGTATACGCCGCGTTGCGTTCCTTAATTAACGCTAGCTCTTTCTCTCTCTCTCTCTCGATGGCTCAAAAGCTGGATTGAAGAACAAAAACACACACTGCAAGCCAAGAGGTGAAAGCCACGACAAGCAACAAGCAAAAAAACACAAAAAAACGGCCACGTTGAGTGCTGAAGTGTACAGTTCAAATTACATTAACAAAAAACGAAACCCAAAAAAAAAAAAGTGAACCGCACTTGACCTTGGCTAATTGCAAGACCAAGAATTCTTGAACGGAAGGTTTTGGGAGGGGGCGGTGGGCGCGAGTGCATAAATTACAGGCACCGCGTTTCCAGCCGGAATGGGAGCAGTCAATGTTAATTGCTAGAACATGTGTACATTGGGGTATCAAATAATCGCTGCCTCGGATTACTTAACCTTAAGACGAACCTTGCCCCTGAGGAAAATGTTAGGGAAATGCCTCACGTTTTGACATCAGTTTGATGAAAGAACAGAAACTTTAATAAAGTTAGGGAAGTTTCTATAAATTAGCAAGGTCTTCAAGTAATAATAAATTATGTATTTAATTTTTTCTTCCTAGGTAACCATCGGCCGTCGGATTGGCCTTTACAGATTTTGTGGCGACATCGGACGCGGCAACTTCTCCAAAGTCAAACTCGCTGTTCACCAGTTGACGCGTGGTAAGCCAAAAGAAAACTTTATCCTGATTAGATATTAATCAGTCAATTTCCAGACAAAGTGGCCATTAAGGTGGTGGACCTGGATCGGGCTGGTCTCGATGCCAAGGCGCTGCGAATGCTGTCCAGCGAGATAGCCACACTCGAGTGTGTTCATCATCCAAATATTTTGAGGTGGAAAACGAATCTTGTCTTTATTATGGGTAGGATTAATATATTTAATATTTCTTTTAGGCTTTTCGAGGTAGTTGAAACTTTGGGGCGGGTCTATCTGGTCACGGAGTGGATACGCGGTGGTGAGCTGTACAACCACATAACCCAAGGAGGACCTCTGCGGGAGATTCATGCGGCTCCTTTACTGAAACAGCTCTTGCTGGCTGTCAAGCATATGGTAAGCTGTCAATATTTAAAATGCAGAAACATACAAATGAATTCTGGTAATTTTAATTCAATTGTATCTCCACCGAAAATCAATATTTATCGCTTGGAAATAATTTATTTAAAAGCTGGATTTGACAGAGAGATTAATTATATTAATTTCCCTGAGTGTTGTTAATATTTAATTAATTATAATGGCTTTTACTTAATACTTCGTTTAATATGTTGATTTTTATACTGGGAAATTAATTGAACTTAATTCCATTTGCAGCACAGTCTGGGCTATGTGCATCGGGACATTAAGGCTGAAAATGTCCTGCTCCTCTCGGAAGATCGCCTTAAAGCTGGCCGATTTCGGTTTCAGCACCCAACTCATCAATGGTGCGGTATCAATAACCCCTTCATTCCGTCAGAAAACTAATCAATTTCATGGTCTTTGACAGGTGCCAATCAAAAGCTCGACACGTTTTGCGGCTCCCCACCGTATGCGGCGCCCGAGCTCTTCTCCGATGACCATTATATCGGTGCCCCCGTCGATGTGTGGGCCCTGGGCATCCTGCTCTACTTCATGGTGGTTGGCAACATGCCCTTCCGGGCACCCACAATCCCCGGCCTCAAGGCAGCCATTCTCAAAGGAGACTATCTGCTTCCTGGACAGCTTAGTTTGCCCTGCATAAGACTTATACGTAAGTTGAACTTGCTTTTGGATTACAATTCTAATTTGATTATAATGTTAATTTGTTTTTAGAACGCATCTTGATCCACATACCTGCCCATCGGCCAACTATAGACGACATACTAAACAGTCAGTTTGTGACCTGCCCCAAATTAAGTGCAGATCTAATGCAGTGGGAGATCAACCAGCACACCAAGCCAGTGAAGCGATCTATATTCTGGGTGCGTAGCAAATCTCATCGATTGAGGAAATCCGCATCCTTAAGGGATCGATATGCAGAGGTGGTAAAGAAGCCGGCCATTAGTATGAACACCCGTCAGCAAGATGAGATGTTTGTGCAGAACTTCCTGCAACCAATCGAGATGGGTCATGAATTAATGCTTCAGGGATCAGGTCAGCTAAAGGAACCACAGTCCACCGACCAGGCCAAGCGTCCAACCAGAAGATACATGTTCTGTGGTAGTCTTAAGAAAAAGGTTACACCCATGGACACAGAGCCGGAGAAACAGTTGGCCAACGGTGGTCAATGCGGATCGGCCAAGATCAATCCGTGGAATGTCGAAGTGGCCGACGATTGTCCCTTTGTTCAAGAACTACGACGCGGAGACGGGCAGCTGCATTATGTTGCCCACGAACACCGAGGATCTTAGCCAACTGGGAGCTCTAGAGTTTGAAGCCCGGACAATTTTGGCCGAACTGGGCTTGTCCTCCGAGATGCTGATCAATGCTAGGCAGAGTGGACCACGTTCTGACATCATTGGCGCCTATAGAATTGTGGTCAATCGATTGCAAAAGCAATCCTGGCTGGCACGAAAGCATGTGGAGATGGCCCTGCATAGTGAGCCCAAAGCGGAGAAGCGAATTGAGAGATCATGCTGCATACTCTAAGACATCCGCGAATAATTGTTGAATGTTTATATTACTCTCCTGGTCCTGCTAGGTCCTTGGGTCCCCAGGAATGATAAGGCAAACTTGGTTTTCTATAGAATTTTTCAAGAAAAAATGGTATTTTGTTACCTTTTCTTGGAAAGGGAAACAGGGGTTCAAAGACCCTTAAGCTGAATTATCAAATATTTAACTTTTTTACTAGAGGCTATACCATTGATCAGCTTATTCTTTTGAATTGTAACCATTTAGATTCAATGTCTAAGCTTTAATGTTAAAAAGTAACAAATGGTTGGTAAAAAAAGAAATTGAGGTTAGCAAGTTCTAGAGTAAAAACAAATTGTCTAAAAAATATTCAGAATATTTCAAAACTTCTTTAAAAGTAATACGTAGTGGAATCAAAACACGATCAGCTAATATTTCTTTAAAAATATAAAGGAATCAAGGGATTTAGAAAACCCTTATTAGTTAAATGAAATAAAGACAAGTATCGCTTGAAAGAAGAGAGAAGCTATCTCTAAGGATTTAAAAAGAAAAACCAAGATAAAGGGGAATCCAATGGATCCTTTGGATAATCCAGGTTTGCCTTTCTGCTGGGATAAAGCTGAGAGACCAGAGGACAAGCCCAATTAGTGTCAATTTGCCAGCTGCATAGGCGCGAGTTTGTTGTTAACGTAGTTTCCTACATTCTTTCCTTGGTTACTCATTCGAGAAAGTTCCTTATTTCGTGTAGCTTCAGTTTGTCCAACCGTTAAGTCCAGAGGCGGATAGCAAAGTTGATATATACATATATATAGAAATATATACATATAGTCCAAGTATTATGTATTTAGTTGTTGGTCCATTTTTAAGCATATACAGACGAATATACGAAACGAAATAATATGAATACAAAACATATAAATACACACTTGGCTAAGGATCGATCGATCTCATCGAGTCTTCAATGTACAACGTTGCATAAAAATGTTTAATTGATCATCAAAAAAGCGAGTGTGTCTGTATGTAAGTGTCACTCTCTGTGTGTGTGTTCTTGCCAAATTGTCTCCCGTGGAGTCAATAGCGTACAATAAAGCAGCATTATGAATCGCTAAGAATCGCATTCGTATAAATCGTAATCATTCTTAAATCTAAATCTCAACCACTCGTCTAATTATGCACTTTAGCCTTAGTTTATTGCAGTTGCAGCATCCGCAGGGGGCTCGTCCTCCTGTTCCCGCTCGCTTCTGCTCGCAAAACCTCATCCTCCTCATCTGCTGCTCCACTTTCGCCTGGTTTAGTTTCATCTGTTCTGTTGCGACGCAGGCGCTCCACCGGCGACCCTCTCATATGACGGCGCTCTTACTGGGTTTTTTGCCGCTGCAGCCGGCGTCGCTGTCTCGAGCGCTCTCTTCTGCAAAATGGAGTGAATTGATAAGGGGGTTTGAGTGAAATGCGAGTGGAATTTATAAGAATGTTTAATACGACTACAGAATACCAATTATTAAATATTTTGAAGATGTTTGCAAAGGCGTTGGCCATTGCCATTTCTTTTCTTTCTTTTAGTTATTTGTCTTATTTTTCAAGATTTAAATTTATTAAAAAATAGCCGCAAGCGTAAAGTTTATATTATTTTAAATACCATCCCCCATCTTACCAACTATGGCAAACGAATCCGAATCCGAGGTGCCCGCTGGCCAATCGATATCAGGCATGGTGGGCCAGTCGATATCCTCCGTTGTGTCCCAATCGACGGCTCGTGTTTGACTTATCTCAAAAAGAGCCGGCGAGCATATGCTAAGAACCTCTTCACGGAACTTAGTTAGCAGGGACTCAAAACTGTCACTGGTCTTGCAAAGGAAACAAACCGCCAAAGAGGGATCCATGGCGGCGAAGCTCAAACGAGCAGCATGCTTCTGATGGTAGGTCTCGTCGTAATCTTGTTCTCCCGCAGCAGTTTTCTGACCAACTACTCCTGTTCGTTGAGTGGTGTGTGGATCTAAATAGAGGACCTCGTCGTCCACGTAGCCTAGGAAGTACAGAGCCTGGTTGGGACGACCGCCGATCATACCACAGCTGCTATCTAGTTCAAGGCATCTTTTTAAGGCTGGCACATAAAGCGGATTAATATCTGTGATGCCCAGGCGCAGAGGGATTATGAGTAGCAGTGGTTTCCAAGAGCCTCCTTCGCGACATGATGAATCTACGAGATATGGAAAAAAATATTATTTAGGAAAGGGGTTTAAACCCGTAACGCTTTTCCACACTTACATACGTCCTCCAGAACTACTGTGCTATCCATAGCCACATGAACTGCCAGTGAGCTCCAGTCGTCAAAGCGCACTAGTTTTCTGCAATTACCAAAAAGTTATTGAACTTGTCTTCCATTTAAAATTTAACAATTAGATCTTACTTGAGAATCTGGGCTACTGTATTAGGTCCTAACCACTCGCCCACTGCCTTGTTTTGGGACTCTCCCATCAGGGCGATCTGGTGTATGGAGTAAAAGCTATCCCCAACGTCCTTAAAACGATTTACGATCTTGAGGTAGGTGGCATCACGGCAATCCGACGTCCAGAACCAATCGCGACCCAAATGTAGATCAATCAGCGCCTGGGCGAGGACCATCTGACCACAACGGAGCATGCAGCCCCATCCCTTGTCCGACGTAAGCTGAACCTCTCCCAACGGCGAAAATCCATGACGATAGGTGCACCACAATCGAGACTGAATATCGCGTCGTATAAGTTCAAGTTCTAAAAAAAAGGAAATATTTTTATTCTTTTTCTTGTATGTACGCACTAGGACTACAAAATTACTTTCAAATCGTAACAGAAATTTTAATCAGTTAAAACTGCTATCATAAAATAAGGACAGGAATCTATATACGACCAAGTACACTGTACGATACTAGCGTCTCGTTGGGTTTTCCCCAACTTATGGGAATTATTTGATATGATAGCATCATATGACTCATTCCAGCCAATATGGCAGGTCTAATTCCTTATAAAACTGCCTTTATTAGCCTTGACTTACCTTGTATGGCATTATATTTTCTACCCAGGACCCAAACATCGGTGTTTTTCCTAGGGATGTCCTCGGGCTCTCCACTGCCCACCGCTTGGCCAACTGCACTGGCCAGGACGCTGTCCGGGCCCAAATATGCCTCAAAGACGCTCTCCATGATCCGTGCTAGCTGGTCGCTGAGCCCAACCAGCATCTACTGCCCGTTGGGAGGAGTAGCGGTTGGACACCAAGGCCGTTCTGCGAGTTAATTGCCTCCCAATGACGTTCCGATTTTTTCGGCTGGTGCCTTTGTTTTGGCCTTTGTTTTCGCTGGTAGCAATGCTCCTGCTTTCGGCCCGAGGTCACAGAGGTTTCATTTGTTGCTGGCAGTGACGGGCTGATTACAAACTAAGCGATAACCAACTTTTGATCAGTCTGCGGCGCGTTTAGTTTGGTTTATTTTCGTTTTCTTTTTTGTTTTTTGTTGATTACAACGATAACAGCAGTGACGTAGCTGTTAGTGTGACCGCAGCTATTATCTATAGTATTTCTGATAAATATACCAGAAGTCTTAACATAGGAAATACATAAATGTTATAAAAAGTAACAGCCCTTTTTTTAAATTTCAAATTTAATAGCTTTCTGAAACTATTTTTCAATATTTATCTTAGTAATATTGATAAGGAAAAATTGTTATATTTAAAAATATTGTTTGTTTTTTATTATCAATAAGATAAAATTCAATAACTGCTTAGAAACTTCAATATTGCACTTAACAAGTTTAAAAAAGTTACGCTACCTTAAGCGCGCAGAATTTGTTATTCAAATCGAAGAAGTCATCTTCGGGGTCGGCGTCCTTGACCATTTCCGCATTGGGATCTGCATTGGACTCCTTTGCTTCTGCTTTCCTCGTCGCCTGACGCTGCTTCTTTTGTCGCTTCTTTTGTTGAGCCTTTGCAGCCGTCTGATCCACCTCCAACCGTTTCCAATGTGGAATAAAGTCAGTGCACCAATCGTACAAATAACAGTAGAAATCAAACATAATCTTCGAGTCGGGCAGTAGGAAGTTCTCAATGTGGAATCGGACATCTGCACGATTTCTCAGAAGATCGTACATATTGTAGAGAAAAGCGCCACAAAATAGCTGGTTCATTCTTGGACCTAATAGCGGAAAATCCAGAAGAGAGTTTAGTCCATTAAGTTGATAGACCACAGCCTGAAATTCTGCAAATGCGTGAATAACCGTTGTTGAGTACAAATCGAACTTTTTCTTAAAGATTTCCTGCATGTGAAAATGAGGTAGGAGGCGTTCTTGGGTTAAATAGCAATCCGATTTAGGTACATGGGGCATCCGATCCGGCACTGAGAGCTCTAAGATACACGGTTTAATACCACGAGCAATGCCTTCGGCGGCTTCTTTATCCCTAACGGCCCTTTCTGCCTTCAATGTCTTGCCAAATCTCTTACGGAAAGCTTTCACCTCTCTTTCAGCCGGAATTTTAACGTCTATGGTTCGTAAAACAATCACACTGAGGATCAACGAGTGAAGATGCACCAAATCACAATGCTCCGAGCGATGTAACCAGTAGATAATAGCCAGGAAGTACAGCCTCAGATCCTCCGGCAGCTCGTCCAGCTTTTTGAACAGCTTCTCTGTATCTGCATGCGGAACATAAGCTTGGAATACAGCCCTCAGATGCCTGGCATCAGGTGAAGATGGTTCAAACGCATAAGGAGGCTCCTTCTCAATTGGCATCTTGATATACCTTACGTTGGTAACTCGAAGAGCTCTCGTGAGGTATGTGTACTCAATGGGGAGTGGTGTACCTTCCACATCTAGTTGTGGCTCTATTTTCGCACCCTCTACGTTATGGAGTAGTGAGAAAACGTAGTTAAGGATAGGCAGGGCCAGTTCATTTGAGTCGTGAAAGGGAAAGTGCTCGATCTGTGGATTGTTTGATGTATTTACGCAGGTGCATCAGGTCCACAAAGAAGCGTGAAAGGTGGGCCGGGTATAGTTTGTCCAGAAACCATTGGGGGAAGAGTAGTGTTTTATCTTCAACTTCTACCTCGAGATCCTCTTCTTCCTCCTCATCATCACCTGAATCAGCCTCTTCATTTTCAGCTTGCTCCTCCTCCTCCTGTTGCTCTTTAGCTTCAGATTCTTCCACATCCTTGTCAACTTCAACTTCTGATAGATTATCATCCAAGCTAACAGAATCTTCCTCATCACTCGCTTCTTCTTCACTAGCGGGTTCTATATAAGGAAATGCATTTTCATAGTGCTCATCGAAGAAATCATAAGCATGGCACAACTCATTGGAGTAACCAGAAATAGCTGCATTGACCTGGGACACTAGAGATTCTCGCTGGTTCTGCAAGAATATTAACAATTAGTATACTAAAAGCCACGGTATCTTAAAAAACTAACCTTTTTTAGCCTCGACAACACTTTAGCCAAGGCACTCTCGGATGTTTCTTCTTTTAGCCAGGCTAAGATGACCTGTATGCGTTTTTGCTGAATCTTTAGCTTGCGACTCCTTCCTGCTTTGCCCATACCGGACGCAAAGAAGTTCTTAAAGGCACTGCGCGCAATATAATCGTTGCCAAGGAGAGCAGCAAAAAGTGGCAGTTTCTCCGGACTCAGAGTGCTTTTTCCGCAAAGATGGGATACTCGATAGATGCAGCAGTCGAGGTACTTGTACGTCTTAGTTTTCCCTTTCGGTGAAGCTACCTGCTCTAAGGTTTGAATGTCGCTCAAAATCTTGTTGGCCTTGGTGCGCTTCTCCACATTTTTGGCTTCGTTGCGACGCAGATTGCGGGATTCTTTTTGTTTGCCGTTGTTCTTGTCTTTCACCTGTTTGGTCAGCACCTGGAGGATATAAAATTATTAACATTGTATGGATATTTATGATATTGTAACATACTTTAACAGTCAGCGTTATCAGCGGGATATACTTGACGTTGTGAATGTAAAAATCAGAGTCGTATGAGAGCACTGGGCAGTTTAGTTTCCTTGCCAAGGCAGCCAGCTCATCGTCCGCCTCGAAGACGCACCGCATCACAGGGACTCCACAATCCCGCACTGCATCTACGAAAACTTCCTTAAGGTGCAGGGGAAACAGCGTAATAGAGGCATTTGGGTTTATCTTCTTGATTACAGATATCTTGCCCCTCAGTCGGGTGCCCACAGTCTGCAACTTTCGCTCCTCATAGCCTCCGTCCATTAGAACGTAAGGACGGATGTCGCACTCGGCCAGGACCTGGAAAAACTGGACCACCGCCCGGTAAAAGTCGTCGTAGTCCCCTCCAAAGGCCGAATAACTGCCGGTAACATCTTTGTAAAGATTGCAGGACAGATTATCGCCATCGATGACTAGCGCCGTGGAGTGGAGTTCGTAGGGCTTCAGGTAGATCTCAGCACGCTGTGCTATATAACTGGTAAGGCCCCGGACTCCCATTTTCCCGCACTTGTTGCTGAGCTGCGATTTGTTTATTTCTTGCACTCCAACTTGCGAACGCGTGCTAACGGTAGTGTTGGTAAGCAACCAAATATTTATTCATACACTGAAAAAAATGTAATAATAATCAACATGCAAAACAAAATATTTATATCTTTCTAACAGTAGCAGAACAGCGGCGCCGTAGTCATTTCTGTATTTAACATTGCAGTTACTTAACATTCTATCAACAGCGTTTCGATATCATAATTTCTTAATATCGATATTCCATACAATCTGGTATTTTTGATGATATTCTTAAGCGGTCAATCCAGAAACATGGTATTTTTATCGCTACGGTCACCCTGTCAGCACAGTATTTCCCTTTGAGTTCATCACGGTCACACTGTCCCGAAAATTCCGACCCGACGCTTGCTCGCTCTGCGTTCGCGCATCAATAAAATCGTAACATCGCGAGTGCTGCGAATAGCCAAATAGAAAATTCGGCTGCAATCAACAATACTACGACCCACTAAATAAGGTGGAAAACTGGGAAATCTGGCACCGGAAAAACACAGAGTGCAGTGCAAATCGCCATTGAATCTCCGAGCGCGTGCATATATACGGGTTCCGTTGGTTCCGTTCCGTTTCTTGTCGCTTTTTTCTTGCACACACTTTACCACTTTACCTTTGCGTCTCTCGTTTCGTTGCGTGAGTGTGTGTGTGTGAGCGGTGTGTGGTGTGCGTGCGTGTGTTGTTTTTGTGTGTTCGTTTAACTAAAGCACAGGTAGCTAAGAAAATCAACGAAAAAGAAAAGAAAACCATGGGCGAAATATGAATATGAAATTAAGTAAATATAAAACATCAGAAACATCCAAAAACACACGTTAATAACTTTGTGCGTCTTTCGCATTTCTTTTCATATAGTATTATTTTTTGTCTTGAATTTTCTCAACAACAAAAACAACAGCAAGAGCAACAACAATATGTGTGTTGGAGCGAGAGCGAAGATCGTGATCACCGTATCGTGAATGAATTTTTGTCAGTGTGTGCGAGGCGTGCTCTACGCACACACACACGTTCGTAAACAACAAACACACGCACACAATAGCCACTGTGTCTGTGTGTGTACGGCATTTAATAAATAATTGTGTGCAAATAAATGTTTCAAAAAGAAATCAGTAAACAACAACAACATCAAAACGTAAAGCAAAAGTGCGAAAATTCATCTTCGCCTTGGATCAATCAGCAGTAAAACAAAAAATATAGTGCGTGTGAAAAGATATTCTTCTGGAGGTTTGCAACCATCGAATTATAATCATCTTCTGTTTTTTGGATACGGGATCATCGTTTCTTCTTCTTTTGCCGAAAAAGGTAAGTCTTAATCAAAGGGAAATCGCTTTCCCATTGGCCAAGGCCATTCTAGGAAAACTGCTAGTGGTCCTGCCCACGTTTCCTGTCTTCCGCACATTTTCACACGTCCTGCAATTGCAATTTTCTTGTTTTTCCCATTCCTTTACTCCACATATATTTTTTCGTGTTTCCCACGCCTCTCTTTATTTCAAGGCAGGTATTTGCAGGTAGTCAAGGTGAAAAACCCTCGGGAAACCCGAAAAAAACTAGAGAATACCTCTGTTGGTGGGCCGAGAAAACCCAGAAAAAATATAAAAGAATTGAAATGTTTTCCATGGCTGGTGAAACAGCGAAAATTGGGCGAAATTAGCCACCCGCAGATTCCAGAAAATTGTTAGGAAAATTATGAAAATCTCACTGGGGGAGAAATAAATCATCGTTATTATCATCTGCAGTTGCAATTTGGCACAATTTCGATATGACTGTGCTCCCATTTGTCCAACGATTATGTAATTTTCGCCGCTGTGCTCTTGTGAATCAGGTTGATTTTCCATATAGAAAGGGGGGATATGTACATATATGCCGACGATCCGACAGTTGCCAGCAATTTCCGGCGCTTTTTGGCAACTGGAAAATCGAGCACAAAAGTTCATCTCGCAGTTTTCAAAGCGGCAGGAAAAAAAGGTTTAGCCCTGCCAAAAAATAAAACGTTTCCTTCTCCGGTCATCCCTTCCCAAACGCATTTCCCAGAGTGGTTTATAGTTTTCCTACAGCTGTTGTGACTGCGATTTTTATGATTTTTACTGGTAAACCGGGAAGGGAAGACTATAAATGGAGATGCGACAAGTTGATACCACTTGAAGAACTGAGGTTTTTAGGCTCGAATAATAGTAAATACCAGCTAAGAACGTTAAATTATAGCTGAGAAAGTATAAACTTCTGTTAAATAAAAAAATTTTCTGTATAATGTTTTAGTTATAATACCCTCAGCTACCCTATAATCAATGAGTACCATAAAAAGAGTTTGAATTTCAAATAAAATCCACTCTCTGACACACACACAAGACCATTGGGGAGCAGCTGCTGTTTGTCTCTTTGTGTTTGGGTCTCAAATGACACTTGCCAACGCTGCTGCTGCACATAATTCTGAATTCCGGAGAATTTCCTAGTAGGAAGTGCAGGGGCCACAGCGAAAACACCAGCAAGAGTCGCACTTGACGACTGTCTTTCTATGGCTATTGCCATCCCACTCTGCAAACGTAAATAGAGAACTAGATAAGAAGCGATCTCGAACTTCCCCCTGTTGCATTTTCTGTAACTTAAAATGCGCTTAGAAAAGGAAGTAGTTGAGTGTTTAAAAGTATAAAAGAATTCTTGAAAAACCTTTGATTACTTTTTATTTCTTTACAAATATGATAGAAATATAAAGTTTTTAAAGAAAAATTTAAAACACCATCAAAACTTGATTCATAGGACAAATGTTTCGTGTAGGTGTCTCATCCTCTGTTTTATTGTTTTTGCACTTGTCCCGTTCCCATTTCCTTGCTCGTACACCAGTTATTTGCCGCAATTGAGCAATTAAACAATTGTCTTTGATTAAATGTGCAAATTTGTCTAATGTTCTGCGCTGTACATACGTATAAACATATATCTGCAAAACGGATGTGGCCGCTTAAAGCTGCGCTTAAATTGCCCGCGTAATTTGTCACTGATCTCACTTTCTCAATTGGCGATCTCTGTGATTTGTGTTTTCTGTCTACGCAATTATGCGTCATTATGGGGCAGGCAGATACACCATATAGGAGTACCGTTAGATATCGCATCTAATGTCTAAGAAACGCAATAAAGGCATTGCAACAGTGGCCAGAATAATAACAACAACTAGGGAAATAATGGCTACTTACCTTTGCCCATCGAAATGCTTCTTGACCTACAAGCGGCCTCTCGCATTTCCTGCCCATTTTCATTTACGGTTAATTATTGTTTAGACGCAGTCAATTCGGAAAAGCGTTGGAGGAGGCCAATAAGCTAAAGAAGAAGAAGCAACATTGGCTAATAAAAGCTTGCAAACAATTTTTAAATTTCCAAATTGTTTGAAATGCAGCCCAGCTGGCAACAGAGAATAAAGAGGCAGACAAATCAACCGAAAAACAACACGGCCATAACAACAAACTTGCCCCCACATACATAATAGGCAAGACAAATGGGGTAAAGATAATATAATTTTTATGGAAAACAAAAATTATAGAATTTCAAGTGTGAAATTAGAATTTATCTAACATTATTTAATGGAAATAAAGTGAATATTAAAATCAATTTGCTATTTTAGTTAAACGTGTAAAGAAATATAACAATTTTTTTATTAAGCAACCAAGATTTTTGACTTGTTAATTAAAGTAGTTCAGATCTATTACTATTATATTGACCCCGACTGTACGCATACACACAGAAACAACAAATAAAGTAATTATTTCCTTTCACATGGCGAGCTACCTCCAAAATCGGAAAGACATAAAGAAGAATATAAAAAGCGAAGAAGCCTCAAGACCCAAAAATAAAATCCAACAAAATCCGCTGTCGGCGTCGAGGCTTTTGTTGTTGTTGATTTTTCTGCTGCAGCGGTCCCAACACGTGCAATTGAGAAAGAGCGAGACCAAACTATTTCTAAAATAGTACAGATCGGAAAGGAGCGAGGAGTACGGGTAGTATTTTTGCATTGATCACTCACTTGGCAAAAAACGGAACTCCAAAATGAGTGACATGTGTGTGTATGTGTAATGCCCATTGTGAATTTTAAAAAAACACATCTGTGGGATCTATTGTGATTGATTCATGCAGAAATGGATGACTAAATTCGCTTTTGGCCCATTCCCATATCCGTTATGTGGCCACTCCTTTTGCCCAAATTTGGTTACCAGATTTTTGCCCGTTCTTTTGCCATTTAATTGATTCATCTACACGACCACAAATATAAATCTAAATCGATCTCAAATGTTCACTGAATTTCATTTGCTTTTTCAATTTTTGTGAATGAAATGCTTACGTTTTTCTTAGTTTTCCCCTCTCACTCTATCTCTTCTTATCTCGTCCATGTGGGTGTGTGTACGCCGTCGTCTTACGTTGTAATTTCTCGTTTCGATGTCCGTCCTTGTCTGTTGCTAATAAATCAAGACCCGCTCATGTAAATTTTGCATGTGTTTAGCCTTTGGATACCCTACACTAGGGTGGTTGTATTTGGGTATCTAAGGTAACACAGATGATTTTTTAAAATTTAAAAATTATGTTTTGGAATAAAATAACATATCATGAATATCAATCAACTCGATCGATTATAAAATCTTTTAATAGCTTTTTTTCTTTCTTTTTTTTTGTATTAAAATGTAATCATTCATCCTTATTTGTGGCCATAAAATGATCTATAATGACAATATCTATATTTTTAAAATTTCAAATCAATCAACGGGAATTCAACCATTGAATTAACCGATAAAAAGATAATAAATTACCATTTAATTGACCTATTGAAACAAACTTATAAATATAGAAATATTAGTCATAGGAAAAAACTTCAGCAATGGTAATTCCAAATTCGATGCAATATTTTCCCTTCTTCTTCAATAGTTTTGCCTATTTATGCAGCTACCGTGGGGCGCTTACGTCATGGGCCGGCTTCGTACATATTTGGCCATGTTTTACTGTTGTCAATTGGCAGCTATTTGTGGGCTAAATTTCTCGCTGGCGTCAACACAAAATATTGAAAGTAGGTATTGTAGCGCAGCAGCTCGGATTGAGTTGAGTCATTATCTTTTTCTTTTTCTTAAGTTGTGAAATTTGCTCGAATCCATCGGATGCGCAAGTACATATATGTATTTACATACAAGACCGTACATTCAGCCTGCTCTACACATTTTCTCAATTAATAATTTTGAACGAACAGATGGATGGAGAGATGAGATGGCCATACATATAGCCCATATATCATTGCCAAGATCATATATTGGGTTCTCTCTATCTATTCCTCTCTAGCGACACATTCTGTCTGAGTAAAATCCGTTTGGCATTTATTTACTTGTCTGTCTGGGCAGCATTTCATTGGAAAATTCACTTTTGGCTAAACAATTTCCATAATGCAATCAATTTTTACAAATTGCCCTGTTAATAGAAGATTAAAACATCTTGCGCATCGATCTGCTTTATGAGGGCATTCGGACATTTGTTTTGATTTGCTTACGTTAATGCAGCATTCAGTATAAATTGGTCCATATTCATGAATGGAATAATGAATGGGATTGGTATTTGAACTTTATTATCGCTTCTGTTTTTTCACCTTTCTTGTGGTCGGTCAGGTGATTATGGAGCAAGTTTATTCATTATAATTTTTAGGAAAAAATGGTGAAATAATTCAATATATAGAAGCAGAATTGACTTATGTGTTAATTGTTCTTTGTTTAAGTAAAATTTCATAATTCTGGTTACTGAAAATGTGAAATTTCCTGAATACTGCCTTTAACATCCTGCCTTTTGGACATTCTTTGACTTAAAATGACTAATAGTTTACCTTTTTGCAAACCTTTCGAAATTAACCCTTTAAAATGATTTTAATAATATCCCCTCTGTGAGAAATACCGAATAGTCATTATTAACCAGAGAAATCCATTCACCGGAATGGATCCCACTCATCATATCGTTATCCAGTGCAAACAGCTGACTAACGCGGGTGATCGCCAAGGGGCCCCAACTATATAGACACGGTTCCCGACTGACTGCCTGTGGGTGGTGCAGCTTTTCATAGCCACCTACACTAACTCACTGCGCCAATATTTACACAACATTGATGGACATGTACAGTATGTTTACCTACTTTGTAGGTGCTTCGGTTTCGGTGCCCCCTTGTTATGCGTACAAACATATAGGTACATACCCCTCCTATATACTAGATCTGGCTTATTTATTTATGTATTATTCTGTCGCTATTTATAACTGGCATACTAATTTGTAATTTGTTTAATGATTCATTTAGC